TACTCAATCCCCACTAAAATAGGTACTAAAATGGGTGGTGAATTCACCAATCCCAACCAAAATGGGATCCCCTTGAACGGTTTTGACAACAGCCATCTGTGAAAAAATAAGGTTGTCTTTCCCCAAAAGTACCTCAGACCAGGACCCCCGAGGGAGTGAGCTTCCCTTCCTTGCGTAAAAACGCTAGGTGTCAGGCGTAGTAGCGTTGACGTAGAGGAGCACGTTGTGGTCGACATCTTCGCAGAACTTGCCTCAAGTTTTAACCCCGCAAATCACCATGGAGCCCACAATGGGGTCCAACTAGAAAGGGCAGTGCTTGGGCATGTGTAGCCCAGGGATATCTTTACTGGCAGTGAAATTGTGGGGGCGCTTTACTGAAACAAATGCTAAAGCAAAAAGCGAGAGGCCTCGAAGAAACCCAGTCACAGTAACTAATTAAGACATGTCTCCCAGATTGACAAGGTGCTCTTTGGGACAGCCCTGTGATCTAGCACTGGAGCCTACATCTCGCCACTCATCTTTGCCCGAAGTCGCATACTGGTCCTGGGGAGCCTTGCAGCCTAGTTTCGAAACAGTGACTATGAGGGACCAAGCAGCACCGAAGTGCTTCGGTGGACCCCCTTTTGGTTAGTACTTAGTTCAAGGGAATCCAACAGGAAACCAATCATTGCAGGGGACCCTATTGTGAGAAACCCCGATTTTCCTGGCCACCTTTCCATGACAATGAGGCCCAAGCTCAGGACAATCATCATCACCGTTTCAGCGAAGACGAGGATGGTCACCGTGAAGATCTGAGAACAAAAAGAAAGAAAAAGAAGAAGAAGAAGAAGAAGAAGAAGCAGAAGAAGAAGAAGAAGAAGAAGAATAATAACAATAAAAACAACACGTCACGGACGGCAAATGTACGAGCGCAACGCGCGAAGATGGTTTCTACGACAAAGCTGTAAATCGGTTTACACCCGTGGCTATGGCCGTATATTCCGTCCACCTTGGAGTGGCTTGGGGGTAGAGCAACCATCTTCGACAATGAACAGGGGTTTGGGAAAGATGCGCGGAAGCATCATTTTTCTAGTGCTACATCTTTTTTGCTGTCACCTTCAGACTGCCTTTCCCAGTCCCTTCGTCTTTTTGATTCGTGGGACCTTCCTTTTGGTTGACAAAGGGAAGGTCCCAAAGACGCAAACTGCGAGTTGCCACTTGGATGGCCTGGGACTTAGCTAAGTGGTTAGCTTTGCCCTAGTTGTAACCCATTTACCATTGTAAGTCCCGGAATGTTGACCCCATAGTAACCAACCCCAGTTTATGAATAGGGGGGTGTCCCTGGTTGTGGGGAATCATCACTTTTTGAGAGCCAGAACCACCCCCCTAGTAAACTGGGGTGGATTCATATGGGATCAAGATTTTCACCAGGGCAAAGCCAACCACTTCGCGTTTCGTCCCATGCCCCATTGAAGCTTCGAATCTTCGAGGCCGAGGCGACGAGAGCGAAGACCACCGCAGCGAGGCGCAAACCTAGGCTCGCTTCCGATCCCGCGAATGGGCCGAGGAAAGTCCGAACTCTTTTTTAATTCTGCCACGAAAAGGGTCATTCCAAAAAATAGAATGTCCAGGAACTGAGGGAGTGAGTGGATCTTGCTTTAGGCAAACCCTTTTGCCTGGTTTTAAGGGGAATCGGAATCAATCCGAACAACAGTAAACATGTTTTGGGGGTTCCCTAATTCTGAGATAAACCCATGACTGGCATTGAGCGCTTACGCACGGAGTCTTAGTTGCTGGCCCGAATCCACACACTTTGCGAATGCGCTGTTTCTGCCTCAGCCGAACTTTGCAAAGCGACAGGATGCCACCACGAAACGCTTGCTGGCGATTGGCAAATCTCGGTCGTCAGGGCCTCAATAACGATCAGTCCACCTTGGCAAAAACAGTGCACAGCGTGAGCCATCATGACCAGGACACCGAGGTCGCGACAAATCACAGCCCTTGGTCGATGCAAATGAAACCAACGCCGCAAACCCTCTTTCCACCGATTTTTGGAAGACTGTCGTCATCTTAAAAGGGCCTCCCGTGATCTGAGGCCGAGATCTGAGGCCGCTGGCATCAGTGCTAGCGGTGCCAAAGGCAAGCGCACAAACACCTTTCTCTGGCCTCACGGCTAGGTTTGCAAACCCAATGCCATATACCTTCCCACCAACATGCCCTGGTGCAAAAGGAAAGCTGGTCTGGGAGTCTGCGCAAAGAGCCATGGCCGGCCTTCTGCGAACTCGCGGAACTTGGAGATTTGATCAGGCACCGGCACCACCTTGCATCATGTGAGCGGAGGTTACAATTGCCAGGGGCATAAGACAATTGAGCGGATTGTCCCCCTGGGCTCTGTGGGAAACTAGGCTGTTGGGCTGTCTCCCCACATCCTTCGGACTCACAAGCCAGCTGTAGCATCTTCCAGATCTAACAGCTCAGCTTGCTGCTATGTCCACAATGCTGTAAACCTGATCCACGTACTGGTCGATCGCCCCTGAGCTTTGCACTCCGGGGATTCGAACGAGATGTCTCGGGACAGTAAGGGAACAAGCACTCATGAGCGAGCATGAGTCGTTGCCAGAGCGACCGAAGGAAGAGAAGGTGTAGTGTCCCCGCTGACATGGATGCAGGAGAAGGATGAATAGAACGCTTGGGGTCCTCATTTCTCTCCTCCAATTGCCTCCTACAGGGGCCCTGTGCTGAGTTTCATGTTAGGTGAAATGGCATCTTGCTACCAGTAGGTGCTTGTCCCAGAATCTCAGATTTCACTCGCGATAGAGGCCGCTGCCCAGTGCATTGCTGACAAAGGTAAAGAGCACTTGCTTCGCAGCCCTTAGGTGGCAGTGCATGTTGCACTCATCACGCACATATGTTGCCGAGATATTTGAGCAGCCGGCCGGCTCTCGGTCTTGCAAGACAAAGGGATCTGACGAAGCACGGCTCACAACTCGAAACCGGGATGGCATCCGCCTGCTGGAGCGCGTCGTGCAGATCAGTGATCTTGGGCAGCAGGTCTCTCTTGTTGTCTTGGAGGTAGGGGGGTTGGTTAGGGAGGGGCGTTGGGGCGGGGGGTTGGAAGTTGTCTGATGGGAAGTTGTTGGTCGGGGGTTGGGTCATCATGGCTTCTCCAGTCGGGCATCTCGGGCGGATGCCGTCTGATTGATGGTGACGCTGGCATTCGCGATTTCTATGGCGTTCTCCTGCACCCAAGTCCAGACCACGTCCACACAGATCGTGGCGCGAGCAGTTGCACATGACACGCTGCACCTCGGCCCGTTCCAAGGATAGCAGGATCACTGTCTCCTTAGCAACAAGGCATGGACAGTCTCCTCACTTGATTTGCACACGATGCCGCCAACGCCATTTTAATGAACGCCTGGTTTTAAAGGATGTTGCCCCAAAACCTGTGCCATGTTACAATGTAAACTTGTAAACCATCAACAGGGCGGCCGCGCCCTATAAGTAGGGTTGGGACTGTGGCTGACTGACCCTACCAAGGATGAGGCAGTCCGAATGTAGCTGTGGATGCGAGCTGCGACGCCAAACCTGTGCAAGCACAGGATGATCCCATACATGTCGACAGGTCTCAAGGCCGCGGCAAACATAGGAAGAAAATACACATTGCTGAGCAACACATGGGCAAGCACCTGAGCTGGCAAGGATTTATATTCCACCTTGACCCGGGGTCCTACATACATAAGGTCCACCCCCTACTCCCCGAGGTTTGTCCAAATAAGGCCTTACTTGATAAGGCCTTATCAGGGCCTTCGTTGGGCAAAACCCCTTTGCTTATGCATGGCACGTGCTGGGAGGCTCCGACGATGGTCGGCTTCGCCACGCTCGTTTGGCAAACTCATCGTCGGTGAGGAAAGGTTGGCCCGTCTTGCCTCACCAATGATTTCCGCCAGGAACTAACGTGAAGATTGTGAGGAAGCATGCTAAGGCTTGTTGGGCGTTGGTGTCAGCGCAACATCAAATTGAACCACAAATTACATTACGCCATTGTGCAAGGAATGCGTTCTCAACCTGCTCCAACTCGCGAAAGAAAGGGGGGAAAGCTAGAGGCGGTTAATCCATGGATGCGTGCTGATGTGCCAAACCGGATGAGCCCTTCCCTTCACTTCCTGAGTGGATTGGCAAGCAACGATCCAAAGTTTTAGATGCGCAAGATGTTGTGCAAGCTGCAGCGAGCAAGCAGCGAAGAAAGGGAGTGGAGGCAAAACACTAACAAGACCAGGAGAAGCAACAACAGTTGGTAGAGCGGCGACATGAAGGGCCCACAAATCAGTTTGCGGGCAGAAACATGAGGGCAGCACATTCAGCAGCGGAGGGGCAAAGACAGCAGGTTGCATCCCCGAGGCTGCAACTAAGCGACCTCCTTTTTTCAGTTTCCAACATGAAAGTGGACGTAGTTTGGCAAACATGTGTAGTTGCCCGCGCATCCTGCAATAGCCCAATATGCAGCGTGCACTCAAACAGCCCTCTTCGGCTGTCCAGTGTATCCAGCCGAAAAGGTGACAACTGCATTAGAAGGTATTTGGGAATACTGGACATCTTGGGGAATCCCCAAACAGTAGTGTGAACAGTAGTCTTAACTCCCGGCCAGCTTCCATTTGCCAAGAACCCCGAACCGCCCGCAAAGGAAATTAATGCGATCTCTTGATATATATTCTGCCTGAAGACGGGAGTGTGTTCAAAAGAGTAGAGCCCCAACATTATTTTTGATGACCCCTTCAAACCAACAAAATGGTGCCCGACCTGCGCAAGAAAAAACCACCCATGACAGTTTTCGCTGGGCGCGCCTGAGACCAAGCCGAGATTCTCGTCCTGGCGCGCGGAAAACTTGCAACCATTGACAGCAGGGTTGGTCTGGTAAATTGTGTTTCAACCACGCCCTAGTCCAGGAAAACCACGCCCTGGTCCAATTCCCAATTGTTTTTCTGGGCCAAGGAGGTTGTTCAAAGAATTTTGTGTGGCTGGAACAGTCGCCCAACCCTGATTCGCAGCATTTCGCAGCTGCCATGTGAGTGCGTGACCGGGGCCCTGGCATGACGAGCATCTGAAAAGTCCATGCTGTAGTGGTAACCTGTCACAAAATCGCCAGGGACCCACGGGACCCTTTGCTGGGTATCATTTCGGTGGTTGGATGTATTACGCAAATTGGACGCTGTTCCAACCACTATAAAATCATAGGTGAATCCAAACTGAGTGGCACACCGCTGCCGCCGCAACATAAATAGGCCTCGGTGGGAGCCCTGCGCCAAGCCATCTGCGCGTGTGCAATTCAGTTGCCGGCAGCTGTGCCGATTGCAATGATGGTGCCCACCACCAGAAAGAGAGCCGGCACCACTACAATCCTCAGTCTGGCATTTGAGTCATAATCAAAACACGGCAGTAAAATGGTCTACCCAGAACCATGTAAAGAATTGAAAAGGCGGATATCCGCACCCAGTTCCGGTTCGGGTTTGTCCCTTACCCTCCAATTTCCCGGGTTTTGATTGTCGCTCATTGGTGCAACTGGATGGCGTACGGATCTGGGTGCGGGGCTGAGGAATGTAATCCATGTAGTTTTGTTGCAGCCTAAGAAGCCAGTTGCTGCACGACAAACTGCTTGCAACAAGTTGAAGGGATCCGACTCCTCATACTCGGGGAAGGGGTCCTGATGGCAAACTCACACAGCAGCGGATGCAAAGCATGCATGGGCAAACGAGCAACACAACACACACACACAGGTTGCAATGCGGCAGTTAAGCCTTCTACCATGTCGCTCATGGAGCTGAATACGCGCAACCACCGGTTCTTCCGAAAGGGTGGGGGCTCCTGAGGCAAGGTCAGGCCTTCGCTGAATGGCTATCAACATGATTCTCGCCTCGCCTTTGTGATCACCCCTCAAAGCCCTTGTGAGCAGCCACCAGCACTTCTTTTTTTGACGGCGGTGAAACTCTGCGCCACGTGCCATGTGCAATGTGTGCCGCGGTCAAAATAGGGTAAACCTGTTTTTCTTCAGTGTCAATTGGTTCTGCCGGAAGCTTAGTTTCTCATGTACCAAACATTTTGACCGAACCTCGTCTCATGTCACTCCTGCTGGGTTTGCGGCTTTTGATCCTCAGGCTGTTCTGCTTGCTGCTCCAAAGATTCCTGCAGCATCTGCTTTGCGCGCCTCAGATCGTTGTTGGCGTCGTTGGCCTCGGAGATCCAGTATTCATAATCCTTGTCATACTTTTCGAGCACCGAGGGGGTCTTGAAGAGCTCTTGCAGATCATCCCAGGCCTTTCCGCTGTCGATGTGAAAGAGGAACTCGGACGCTTTCCGCAGCCCCGCGCTCGCTTCTCCCGCGCCGAAGCTGGTGGGAAGCCCATCAGCCCCGCCCAGGCCTGGCACATGTCGCGCATGCCTTTGGGCAAAAGGCGCCGCGTCCCATGGGCTGATGCCCAAATCCAGCACCTTCGCGAGAGGCATATTTGGGCCACGAGCAATACTACATGACAGGCAGGTTCATGCCTTGAGCCCGAAGCTGGCCATGGGTCAGTAAGCAATCGCACGGCCAACTCAATGTCAACCCGAACTTTGAAGATCCTTGATCTCCGGATTTTCCATTGTAGGATAGAAGCTTCATCATGGGTGAATTCGTTTTACTTTGATGTTCATCCTGCTAGTAAGTTGGTGCTAACCCTCGTCACAACTGGGGCATCAAGAGTTTGTTGATTTGAGTACGTGCCACATTAGTTGGTCCGACTCCCCAAAAATGTAGCTTTTAACTTGATTAATTTGTCTACTCCCGACCAACTGACGCCGACTTGCACAATGCAGCCTAAGAACCTCCGAAGCTGTCTGAGGCCCAGGCAGCACCCGCGATGCAAACCTGTGGCTGCCCCTTCCCGCGAAAAGGTCAGCCTGTTGATAGTTGATAGTAGGAAAACACAAAACCTTTTGCCCGTAGATGGGACCAAAGAGGCCGGCCAAGGCAATTTCATTCAGATTTGGGGGGTGGAAATGGTGGACACGCATGTGAGCCCCATGTGACTCTGGACCCGCAGCTTGGACAGTTTCTTGCGGAACGACCGCTGCCTGCGGTCTGCAGACTTCACCATCTTAGCACGCAAAATCTCACAAGCAAACCCTCATAATGCCATGAAAGAAGCGAAACCCATCTGGGTGTGTTTTTTTAATGCCGTTTTCACTTTGGTTTTACGAGGAACCAAGAGGACAACCTCTTAGAGCCCCCCTGCTTTTTGACACATGCCAATCTGCATCATGCAAACCAACTCAAGAAGGAACGGGTTCGCACTCTCGCGGGCACTCAGCAGCCCGCCAGCACAATAACCGTCTCGACAGAGACACTTGCCCAAGAAACAGTCGGTTGGTCCTGCGAAAACGCAGTACCCTCAGTGCTAACGGCAACATTGGAAACGCGAGTCGTCCTTTCCAGTTGTCGCAGCCTCCCAAATCCCCGAAGAGGCCCGCAGTGTAGCATGTTCCAACCTGCCCGCACCGCTGCTTTACAAAACGTATGACAATTTTCCAGTGGGATTCCCAGAGCGCGCGTGAATGCGGGGTAGGTAGCGCTCCCGTGCGGACTTGTCTTGCAATTGTATTTTGGCAGCGGAACTGCGGCCTAGCGTCAGCGCTTCTGGAACTCAAGTTTTGGTGGGACGTATTGCGGGGTTGCTCCCGTTTGTTGCGTTTCGCGCACGTGTTTACGTGGGCCACGCTCTGGCATGTAGCGGGGTCGCTCCTGCCGACGCTATAAAGCTTTTACGGCCTGGCTCTTCGCAGGCGCTTCAGCAGGTTAGGCTAACACCGGACGCAACGCGCTTCTCGCTTTCTGAATAGTGGTCATGACCGTTACCACATAATCACAACCAGCAGGAATACTGGAACTAGTTCCTGCGAAAGCCTCACTAGCATCATCTCTACGTTTTTGGAACATCCAGGCAAGTGAAGTATGATGCTGGCAGGTGAGAACAATGTGGCAACCGCTCCGAAATTTCGAATAATCTCCTGGCGTGATTGGCTTAAACCTGGTGTTGCAGGACAATTTGTGCTCCCCTCCACGCAGCGCAGAGCAGCTAGGCTCAAATCTGGTGGTGTACAGATGGTTCGTTGCTGTGGTATCGTCCTGACGACGCTCATTGGGGCGCCCGTTCGTGGCTGCATCTTCATAATGGTTACCCTGCCTGACGTCCGCGGCGGAACGACGTGTGTTTTTGTGTCACTTGGGGGTATAATGTGAACGCTGTATGTCGCCTTTTGATAACACGTTCCGATTTTGAGAATTGTTTGGTTTCTAGATGGTCCCAACCCAGGAGGGGTTTATTATAATAAATCAAAAACTTACAAATTTTGCGGGTCCGATTTCTAGAATTTTGAAAATTGTAGATGGTCCCAGCCCAGGAGGGGCCCGGCCAGGACCCTTAATTTTTGCATATTTTAATTTCAGGCGTCCAACTTTTAAACTTTTTAGACTGCCAGAATGTCCCAGACAAGGCCCGGCCAGGACCCTTGATGAGAAAAATAAAGAATTGCGGCTTAGACCCCAAACAGATGGTAAGAAGCACTACACAGGTCACAGTTGCGCGCCAACTAGGAACATTTTGCGCGCCGGCAGTCACCACACTTGCGCGCCAAGTAGGAACACTCTTGTGCGCTGACAGTGGGCACTCTTATGCGCCAACACTGAAACTCTCTTGTGCGCCGACGGTGAAGCGCGCTGACCGTGAACACACTTGCGCGCCAACTAGGAACACTTTTGTGCGCCGACAGTGGGCTTGCTTATGCGCCAACGAGGAACCGTCTTGTGCGCCGACGGTGGGCTGGCACGCTTGGGCGCCAACAAGATGATGCGCCAGCAACAAGGCAACAAAGGACACTCTTGTGCGCCGACGATAGAAACCCTTAGGAGCCAAGACTGAAACTCTCTTGTGCGCCAACGGTGGGTACGCTCATGCGCCAGCAAAAAACACTCTTGTGCGCTGGTAGGGAGCACACTTGTGCACCAACAAGGAACACTTGTGCGTGCTTACAGTGAACACACTTGCACGCCAACTGGGAACACCCTTGTGCGCCTACAGTGGGCAGGCTTCTGCGCCGACAATGAACACTCTTGCGCCCACAGGGAACACACTTGTTCGCCGATTGCAGCATTTTTTCCTCGCTGACGGTGAACATGCTAATGCGCCAACGAGGACCACTCTTGTCCGCCGGAGGTATGCGCCAGCAAGGAACACTTGTGCGCACCGACACCGAACACATTTGTGCGCCAACAAGGAACACTTGTGCGCGCTGAGGGTGGGCACGCTTGTGCGCCAACCATGAAAACTCTTTTGCACCGACGGTGAACACGCTGACGCGCCAATGAGAAACACTTTTATGCACTTGTGTGCGCGCACAGTGAACAGACTGGGCGCTGTCACGCTGTTTTGCGCCTTTGAACACGTGTGTGCGCCAACGAGGAACGCTCTTCCTCCGACGGTTGTGTGCGCGACAGTGAACACACTCGTGCACCCGGACGCAGAACAGCGGGCACGAACAGCGGCAGCTCTACACCACTGTGTAGCTCCTCTGGTACCGGGCGCGGGCATGGCCAAGCGGCATCGGTCAGAAGACACGCGCTCATGGGGCGAAACGCGCGCAGCCGCCGAGACCCCGAGGCGGCGACATGCCGAGTGAGGGCGCTCAGCCACGAAGAGGGAGAAGGCCAGGCCCGGAAGGTCCGGCCATAGCAAGGACATCGGCAAAAGGTCGGGCTTGCCGGGGCGCGCGCCAGCCACAGCCGTTTCAACCCGCCGCCGGTCTGCAGGCGAGGACAACCAGCCGCTGAGGGCCAGGACGCCGCAGCTCGGGATACCTGGCCTCCGCTCGGTGGCGATTGCAGCTCCGTCCTCATCTGCGGTCCGTGCCTGGGGGCGAACGTCACGCCGAAGCGGCGCAACCAGGGCGGAGTTGCAGCACAAAGCCTTTCCCATGCGCATGGCTCCATACAAAACAAAGTCAAGGCGACGTCGATCGCCCTGAGCAAGACGCGGCGCGGAGGTGTTCGCAAGCCATTGCTGCGGGACAACCCGGCCCTCAGGCCCCAGGCCCCCAAGCCTGCTCCAGCAAGGGGCAGCGGCGCGCGAGGAGGCCGCTGCGTGGGCAGGCCGCGGCGTGGTCGCCGAGCGCGTCCAGCGCAGCGCCACAACCCGGAAAACCATCACCCCCGTATCTCCGGTGAGCAAGGGGCAACGGGGGGGTAAACGCCGGCGCAACGCGACGTGCATCAGCCAAGCCCTAGCCTGGGGCAGACTGGGATGGGAGACAAGCGCGGTCGCTGGGCCTCATGCGATGATGGGTGTTGAGTGCGAGATGCGAACAATTGCCAGCCACGAGGCCAGTCACCGGGGTCGCCGTCTGCGTTGGCCGGAGGGGCGGCATGGGCCAACCGGTCAGGCCATGACGGGCGCTCCGTCCAATGTTGCCTTACAAAATCGCCAGCTGCCGCAGCTTCACGAAGGCATGGCGCAGCGGCTTTGTGATCCACCAAACCCAGGAAGTCTTAGACTAAACAAAGTTAAGTCTTTGTTCAAAGACCGAAGTTTGGCTTGGAAGGCCGAACTTTGACTTGCGCTATTTCTTCCAACCGTATCAGCAATATTATTGGTCACTTTTTAGGACGTTGGCCCCGCTGAATGTTTCCGCAGCAACATATTTGAGTATAGGTATATATGTTTGGTTGTTGCCACGCCGATGGCGCTAGATCTCGTCCACTTGCTCTGCCCTGCTTGCTGGCTTCGCTTCCTTTCAGATTTCATAAAGAACACCGTAAGCTCCTCCCGAAAGCACACACAAACGGCTGAACGGCTGAAAGCAACTTGTGCATGTCACATGGTCAAATGGTATAGAAAGGGAAAGCTTCAACAGCATGAAGATGAGCTATGGCAACGCACTTTCCATTCGTACCCGAGAAACAACTAAACACGCGCAACCAAACAGCAGCATCGCAACCCGGCCAAAAGAAGCCAGGAAAAAACACCCATAGCCAGAAAAGGGGCTACATACCAACCTGCACTCCTGAAGCGCATTTCGTGCGCTCCTACAAGGTCAGCTGTTCTGCTTTGTGCTTCTCGATTGTTCAGGCCAGTTATGCTGAACCCAGGCTCACAGCTTGCAGAGCGTAGGAAGCCGTACTACATATCAAGCGCATAAACAATATGTAGGAGTATGTGTGCGAGCCACTACGATGTGTTATGTTTGTTCGCCTTCCGCTCAGGTGCCATTCCGCTACACTCAGTAGAACTGTGTGTCGATCCTTCCTAGCATTTCAACATGTAAGTGTCTCCGTTGCGCTTCCATCCGCCATGGCTCCAACCAGTATTTTAAATGCGGTTGCGGTTGCCCGTTTGTATCTTGTGACACGCGCGACGTCAAAGGCACACCGGCGACAACTGTAGTCTTATGCACTGCAGGACCACGCACGCTTGACGACATCCATGAGCACCTGTGTTACTGTGACATAAACCAAAATTAGGACCGTGTATCGAAAAGCGAACGTATGTGGCGCTGCCAAGAATCTTGCCCTCAAAAACACGTCTTCCCACAGCAACACGATTATTCGCGGACAACTGAGTTGCTATGGAGCACTTGCCTGGGAAATTTGGAAAACGTGGGGCGTGATGCACCCGTGACGGAAGCGTGGTAAGACCAAACTTTACCGTGGTAAGACCGAACTTTGCCGTGGTAAGACCGTGGTTTGCCACCCCCGCCGAAATCTCGATTCTGTGCGCTGGATGCCGTGCTGTTTTTGCGGAATTGTTCCGAACATGTTGGCTTAGGGTTGCTGAGCCTTGGCATTTTTAGAGCCTTGGCCGGTAGTCAACGATCAAGCGCGCATGAGGCAAGTGTCTGCGATCCGTGCCCCCAACATGGACTGGCGGCTGATGGTGTCAAATGCACCCACCCCATCAACAAACAGCAAGGTGGCCTCAGGGTTCGATTCAAAAGTTGCCGTCAACAGGTGCACCACACTTTCGGTGCCAGCTCGGGATGACAAGGCAAACTGATATGGCTGGCACGCGTCCTGAAACACTGATGCATTCTGCTGTGCAAGGGGGCGACCAGGCGCCGCGTGAAATCGCCAACAACAATGCCCCGCACCCTACCATTGGGCTTGAGGAGCGCGACCATGCGTCCCAAGCCAAACGCCCTAGCGGCTTCACGGGGGATCCGGCCAGTGGCGACAAGTTGCAGCACTTGCACAAACCGGTCTGACGCCTCCTCATCGTCCAGCAAGAGACGGGCGACCTCTGCAGTTAGGCCTGAAGGTCCTGGCGCTGCACCCTTTCTAGCACGCCGTAAGTTAGCAAGGACAACTTCAGGCAGGAGGTGGGCGGGCTCGTCCGGTTGGAACTCCAGGACGCGCCTGGTACGGTTGTGTCGGGCGCCGGGCCGGATCCCGAAGCTCCGCCAAGGTCTCAGGCCTGCCTGGGGCAAGCGGGGTGGCAGCG